CTTCCCCAATCAATAGGAATTGACTAGAGGACAGGCAAGGCTTTACTGGGGCTCCTGCAGCTGCAGGAGGGAGTGAAAACAAGTAACAGTTTCCCTGGCTCATCCTGGAGATGGGGCAAGCGGGTTCCTTATATGGGGTGAGGGTATGGAGGGGTGGCTTAGGTGTTTTGCCCACCCCTTTGGTGGTGTTGAGTGCAGGGGCATACACAGTACCCCGCTTTTGCTCCTGATACCCTATTTTTGCTCCTGGCCCTTCAGAAGTGGCAGTTGGGATTTTTTGGTCTTTTTGTCTCTTTTGTCCATAATCTGCCCGCAGTTATTTTTAGTCCCTTATAGTTTCTTTATATTTTGTTGTTTGAGGAGATGTTTGTCCAGGTGCAAGCGCTGCAGCAAAGGGTCCCAGGCCCAGCCTGTCTCATAACTGTCCCAACATGAAGTTAGGTAATCTAGACTAACAGCAGTCTCAAAGCTAGTCTCTGTTGAGAGCCTGACGACACAGATGGACAATGGCCAGACCATATATGAAAATTGAACTCTGACCCACAAGCTCTGCAACAACGGCCCAGGAAGCCAAATTACAGCCTCTGTAGCCATCAGCCCATAATCGCCAACTTCCCTACATTTTGCCCCTGCATTCAAGTCAGGACCAACCAGAGACAGTCAAATACGCTTTCCAAAACAATCACATAGGGTGTTCTGCTTCCAGGTAGCCTCATGCCCAAAACCTCCAATCAGAGCCTTGAAGCCTTGAAGCCTTCCCTGTTTTTCACCATGAGGTTTTCCCACTCCACTACCTGTCTTTGAGTCTCTGCCAAAAGCAAGTGATCGTGGCTGAGTCCATTGCTATAGCAAGCTCGGCAAAAACAGTCTCTGCTTGTTCTCATCTGGGTGGTCTTCCTTTATGTCCACACTCCCCTCGAATTAACCTGGTGGACACTGACCCCAAAGGAATGTCACAGGCAAAAATACTGCATCAGAGTTTTTTCCACCATGAGCCATTGGAAAATACCGGCTAGAGAACCCAGAAGCTATTTTCAGCCAGGGGCCTCTCTGTGAGTGGTGTAAACCCCACCCCATGGCTGCCTTAAACCTACCACCCTCCGCAGTACCAGGAAGCTTAGGGCAAGTGTCTCAGGCTCTAGTGAGAGCTGGATATCCTACCATCACCCCACCACCTCCAGTCCCCAGCATCCTGCCACCAAAAGTACCCAGTGTGGAGTTAATGCAGTAAGAAGAGCCCTGCTGTCTACCTCCCTAGCTGTGTGATCAAGGATAAGAGGTCTAGAAGGACATCTAAGAGAAAAACACCTCCATACCCCATGCACACCTATCAGACAGAAGGTCCTTGGCCCAGTGTCTTTCTTGGCTACTTGGTGCCCGCGGACACACAGCAGCAGCGGAAGGAAGCCACAGAAAATAAATCAGCTGCTCCAGTCCATCGCATTGCCACGTCACCAGCCCACGGTGCTGTGCTAATTACCACAGCATGCACCAAAGTCCCTTTTCAAAACATGGCCAAACAAACTACAGCAGGGCTGGCCAGGCATTAAAACACTCAGGCACAATTGTCAAAGCAAAGAATTATGTGGCAGTAAATACGAGTCTGGACTCCAGTTAAGGCATCACCTGGATGACAGCCTGAAGGTTACTAACCCTTTGTGGACAGACTGGCTCATCACCACTTCTGCTAAAGAGAGAGCAAAAGAGCATGGGATGGGAGCGACCAGGCATGAGAGTCAGTCAGACTGAAACTGGGGTGGTTTTCTCTACTGTTATCCCTGGGCAACCACAACTTCGGGGGCTGTGGGTGACGCTGTCACCTCAGATTATCTGAGGCAGGTGTAGGTGCTTTACATACTTTCTTAAGCCTCTTGGCCAGTTCTCCCAAACCACTGGGAAACTGACAAATGTTTCCTGATAGACTACTGTGTGTCTAGCACTGAGGTTCCTCTGTGGTTGTCCTTGGAGGACACAGGACAAAAGCCCCAGTTTATCTTCTCAGGGCTTCTTCTCTAGGGGTACTATCAGAGCCACTGTAGGTGCTGATACTTTGGGCTCCATGGAGAGTTCTGAAGAGCTCCTCGCTAGCCCCACGTTCTGAGAAATGGTGTGGCTAACACTTGAATAGGCTTCTAAAGTCTATTAAGCACCATTTACAAAACCCACTTGGTTTAATCTCTGCAAACCTTCCAAGTCGGTATTATCATTATCCTTCTTCTGAGGCTCAGAGAGTTTAACTAACTTATCCTTGAACACGCAGCTAGGAAGGTAGACAGCAGGGCTCTTCTTAGTGCATTAACGCCACACTGGGTAACTTTGGTGGCAGGGGAATGGAGGTGGTAGGGTGGTGGTAGGATATCCAGCTCTTTCCAGAGCCTGCGGTGCTTGCCTTAAGCTTCCTGGTACTGAGGGAGGGTGGTGAGTGTAAGGCAGCCATGGGGTGGGGTTTACACCACTCACAGGGAGGCCCCTGGCTGAAAATAGCCTCTGGGTTCTCTTCAAGATCCAGAAAGGGAGTGCCTAAGTGAAACAACTCCTCTGCTATTTTAATGGGAAAAGAAAAGCAGGAAATACAAGGAGTTAGCTGGTTGCCCGGATGCCCCTAACACACACTTTAACTGTAGAACTGGTCACTTCCTGGATGTAAAAGAAAGGTTTACGAAAAAAGTGCCCGAGAAGTCTCCCACTCCCAGCCACCAGCCCAGCCAGCTGCAGAGGGGGAAACAAATGAACTTCTGTAGATGGAATCCTTTGTTGGAATAGAGGTTAATTGTGGCTTCTCTTTGCTTGTAACCTGGGGTGTGGAGGCTAACACTTTAATGCTTCTCTTGGGCCGTAACTAGGAGTCCCTGGAGAGATGACCATTGTCAGAACCCCAGAGGGGACCACTTATAAGAAAGGTCATGAATCTGGAGAAATTAAGGGATCAAGTCAGAGGGGTGAAGGGCCTGTGGAGCTGGGAGAGAAGGGATGTTTTCCTGCAAAGGGTTTCTCTTCTTATCCTCTTTTCCATGCTACAATTAGGTAACAAGACCCCGTGCTAATAAATACCCCCTGCCAACCCTCAACCAACCAGGGTAGGAATGCCCAGACTGGCAGGCAGCCTGTGCACAGAGGCCACGGGTACTGGCTGAGTGCAGAGGTGCCGGGGCAGGCCTTCGTCTCTGCCCCTCCTGACCCCAATACCACGACCCTCCACCATGGTGACTGAGTACCTCCTGGAGGCTGGGAAGACAGAGGCCCTGCCCATTTGCTCCCCCCCTGTCGTTTCCCTCCCCCACTGCCTCTGCACAACTTCCACCCACCAGCTCCTCACACCTCAAACGGCCTTTCCCACGGGGAGGTGTGGCAGAGACAGCTCATGCATTTATTTTTATTTTTTAAACATCTTTATTGGAGTATAATTGCTTTACAATGGTGTGTTAGTTTCTGCTGTATAACAAAGTGAATCAGTTATACATATACATATGTCCCCATATCTCTTCACTCTTGCATCTCCCTCCCTCCCACCCTCCCTATCCCACCCCTCTAGGTGGTCACAAAGCACCGAGCTGATCTCCCTGTGCTATGCGGCTGCTTCCCTCTGGCTCTCTATTTTACATTTGGTAGTGTATATATGTCCATGCCACTCTCTCACTTTGTCCCAGCTTACCCTTCCCCCTCTCCGTATCCTCAAGTCCATTCTCTAGTAGGTCTGCATCTTTGTTCCCGTCTTGCCCCTAGGTTCTTCTGACCATTTTTTTTCTTTTCTTTTTTTCTTAGATTCCATATATATGTGTTAGCATACGGCATTTGTTTTTCTCTTTCTGACTTACTTCACCCTGTATGACAGACTCTAGGTCCATCCACCTCACTACAAATAACTCAATTTCGTTCTTTTTATGGCTGAGTAATATTCCATTGTGTATATGTGCCACATCTTCTTTATCCATTCATCTGATGATGGACACTTAGGTTGTTTCCATCTCCTGGCTATTGTAAATAGAGCTGCAATGAACATTTTGGTACATGACTCTTTTTGAATTATGGTTTTCTCAGGGTATATGACCAGTAGTGGGATTGCTGGGTCATATGGTAGTTCTAGTTTTAGTTTTTTAAGGAACCTCCATACTGTTCTCCATAGTGGCTGTATCAGTTTATATTCCCACCAGCAGTGCAAGAGTGTTCCCTTTTCTCCACACCCTCTCCAGCATTTATTGTTTCTAGATTTTTGGATGGTGGCCATTCTGACTGGTGTGAGATGATATCTCATTGTAGTTTTGATTTGCGTTTCTCTAATGATTAATGATGTTGAGCATTCTTTCATGTGTTTGTTGGCAATCTGTATATCTTCCTTGGAGAAATGTCTATTTAGGTCTTCTGCCGATTTTTGGATTGGGTTGTTTGTTTTTTTGATATTGAGCTGCATGAGTTGCTTGTATGTTTTGGAGATTAATCGTCTGTCAGTTGCTTCATTTGCAAATATTTTCTCCCATTCTGAGGGTTGTCTTTTCGTCTTATTTATGGTTTCCTTTGCTATGCAAAAGCTTTGAAGTTTCAATAGGTCCCATTTGTTTACTTTTGTTTTTATTTCCATTTCTCTAGGAGGTGGGTCAAAAAGGATTGCAATCCCTATCAAACTACCACTGGCATTTTTCACAGAACTAGAACAAAAAAATCTTAAAATTTGTATGGCGACACAAAAGACCCCGAATAGCCAAAGCAATCTTGAGAAAGAAAAACGGAGCTGGAGGAACCGGGCTCCCTGACTTCAGACTATACTACAAAGCTACAGTAATCAAGACAGTATGGTACTGGCACAGAAACAGAAATATAGATCAGTGGAACAGGATAGAAAGCCCAGAGATAAACCACGCACATATGGTCACCTTATCTTTGATAAAGGAGGCAAGAATATACAGTGGAGAAAAGACAGTCTCTTCAATAAGTGGTGCTGGGAAAACTGGACAGCTACATGTAAAAGAATGAAATTAGAACACTCCCTAACAGCATACCCCAAAATAAACTCAAAATGGATTAAGGACCTAAAAGTAAGGCCAGACACCATCAAACTCTTAAAGGAAAACATAGGCAGAACACTCTATGACATAAATCACAGCTTGTGTATTTAGATTGATTCTGTGCTTTGTCTCCTGATGACTAAGTCACTCAGGGTACTAAACTGCCTCCTGGCCTGGGAACAAGAGAGAACAAGGAGCTGGAAGTGGAGAAAGCCATTCTTCTGCCTTTCTTCACAGGTCATGCCCCATGAACGGCAGTGTGATGTTGGTCAGTGACTCTTGCTGTAAAACTGTTGCAGGAAGGGGGATCCCTTCCAGGGCCCAAGAATGGGCTCTTGTCTAACATCTGGAAGTGAATTGTCCGAGGAGACACACATGCTCACAGAGCAAGAGCTTTATTGGGAAGGGATGCCTGGATGGAGAGCAGGAGGGTAAGGGAACCCAGGAGAACTGCTCTGCCACGTGGCTTGCAGTCTCAGCTTTTACAGTAATGGGGTTAGTTTCTGGGTTGTCTCTGGCCAATCTTTCTGACTCAGGGTCCTTCCTGGTGGCACGTGCATCACTCAGGCAAGATGGATTCCAGAGCGAAGGATTCTGGGAGGGTGGTAGGACATATGGACTGGTGTCTCCTCTCTCCTTTTGACCTTTCCAGAATTCTTCTGGTTGGTGGTAGCTTGTTAGTTCTGCATTCCTTACCAGGACCTCCTGTTGTAAGAGAACTCATGCAAGTGGTTACTGTGTTGCCTGGCCAGGGTGGGCAGTTTCAGTCAGTGGTTTCCCTAACAAAACCAGCCTCTGGGCACTGGGTGGTGTGGGAGCAATGGTGGTCAGTGACACAGATGGGGAAGGAGATCTCAGTGTCATGGTTGCAGGGCTGGGCCATGTGCTTCAGAGACTGTACAGGGAGAAGGGAGCACAGGATGCATGAACTGGGACTGAGTTTTGTCCTAAAGACCTTTGAAATCTTCGTGAAGAGAATAGAAGACACATACGGAAAATCACAGTAAACCCAGATTTTAAAGAGTCCGTAAATGAGCCTTGGGTTTTGCAAGATGCAAGACTTGGATACAGCTTTAGGGCAGATGGTTACTTGGTTCTGGGAAAACCAATGTAATGGCCCATTTAATTATGCAAATGTGGGAATACAGTGGCTGGAAGAGAAAAGTTCTCTGGGTGGTAAAGTGAATGAGTGTATTTGTTGTTGGAGTCTGATACAGGTCTCCGCTATGCTTTCTTAGGAAAAACTGGATTTGCTGAGAGAGAATTTGGCCTATGCCAGGCTGATGCCCCATTGAAGCTTGCTTATGTTTTTGCATAGCTCACCGTAGATGATGGGCCTGCTCTTGCAAGGGTTTTATTGGTACCCTGGGCACAAGCAACACAGATTTGGGGAGATTCTACTAGGGGCCCAGCCATACAGGCTGCTCTGGCATCTCCAGGAGAGACCCCCTTGGCGAGGACATTGGCATCCCCTGATGGACACCATTAGCAATAAGGCTTTTTTGAGGGGCTTCTCTAGTATCAAATATGCAGTACACTAGGCACTGGAGTTCTTACCCTGAGTCTATGCCCCCTAAGAGGTCAGTGAGTAGAATTCAGAGACTCCATGTACTTGAATGAAAAACATTTAAAAAAAAATTTTACTAATTTCTAAATGAACTACAACATTTCCTTCAATAATGATGTAGGCAATAAACTGCAATAGTCTTAGCAGAACTTATGACTTTTTTACCAATAAAAATCACAAATATTTTCTTATCACTTTGCTGTTGTTCCTGTTATCTTAAAATCTTTGTTATGCTCATCACTGCTTCAAAGCTACAGTAACTGTTAGATCTGCCACTAGAACCTGGCAGGATTAAACTAACCTTCTAGTTGGGATTAGGTAATAGAATCATTTGTTAGGTGGCTTTCACTGGATCAGATTGAATCCTTGGCTTAGGCCATCCTGAAGGACATCAGTTATTGAACTGTTTGGGCAACATAAAATACCTATACTATATTTTTAGCCAATGCACCTATCTTGAACACAACTCATTTTACCAGTGAAAACTAATATCTAACATATACTATGCTAACTAACAAGCCCTCCGGTGTTATTATAGATAGAGGTAGTTGAAGTTGTTGTGGTATCCCTCTCTTGTTAGAGTGTTTTTTGCTTCGAGTTCTGCTTAGGGTCTTTTTTCAGATGCTATTCATCTCTGAAGAGTACATCTCTTTCTGGGGACTCCAAATGTTAATAACTGCTCCAACAGTGGAGGTGGCACATTTGTCATGTTAACTATGCTGAAATATTTTAAATTAAATGACAGCAATATAACACAAATCCAGGCTGACCCAGAGGTTTGGTAGGAATTGTAGGTTATCCGGCACTTAGTGAATACTTGTGCTTCTCTTGAGTAGCTAAACATCAAACTTCTCCTTGAATTTACAGTTGAAACCATTTGGGAGATAGCACCAGGTATATGGGCTCACATCCTATGAATCCCTTGGTCATGGGTAGACAGCCTCCAGGGCAGGTTTGGCAAACTATATAATGCCAGGTCATTAGAAAAAGAGTATCCTAAAAGCAGGAGACCACTGCTGCACCCCCTTGCCCTTTCTTTGGAAAGAAGCATATTATTTCACGGAAAACAGATAAATGCTGAGTGGCTGCCTTACCTTGCTCTTAGCTCTGTATTTCAAGTGTCCTATTCCCAAAGGTGCCAGATCTAGCTAAAAATAGCCAAGACATTGAACCCAAGAGCAAGAGAATGCTAAGTTTTACCACCTTTGGTATCAGTTTCAAATGTAAAGAGGTTCAACGCCCTTTAGCAACTAGAACTACAGGACTGTTTTCTCCCCTTTGAAATTGAACTGCATTTTGACCAGAAAGAAAAAAATTATTTAAAGCCTTAGTATTATTAATGCAGGAAAGGACTACAAGGAGCATTTGGTCCGAGTTCCCCATTTTAACAGATGAGGAAACAAAGGCCAAGCGAGATAGCTTAATAGCTACATAGCAGGCATGCTGACCAGTCTGAGAGGATCTTCCTTTAACACAAAGATCTAGTCCCTACTGAGATGAGACAGTGGGAGATGATGGAATTGAATCTTCAGAGCAAGCACATGTGCATATACTAGCAATAACACTCAGAAAATGCAATGGGAAAAATATCTCACTTATAGTAGTAGAAAAATGATAAAATTGTCTAGTTAGATTTCTCCTTCATTTCATCCACAAAAATAAATTCTAGATGGATTAAAGATCTAAATGTAAAGAAAAAAACAAGTTGATAAAGGTCCTAGAAGAACAGATAGGTGAATATTTTTATGATATTTGGGTAGAATGAATGACCTTCCTAAGCAAGACACAGAATCCAAAATCATAGGAGAAAAGATGTACAGATGTGATTGAATAAAAATTAAAAACCACTGTAAACCAAGGCAAATAAGAAGCAACAGAGCAAGAGGAAATACTTGCAACATATATTACAAGCAAAAGGTTAATATCCACAATATATAAAACTTTTCAACAAATAAATACAAAAAATAAAAATAATTCAATAGGAAAATGGACAAAGGACATGAACTGGCCAATCACATAAGTTTCAGAACCATCTAGGCAAGAGTATTAAATCATAGGCAAGGGATGGTCTTCAGGGAAATGGGCTTTCCAGAAAACTGAAAAGGTATAGGCAGAGCTATTATTCAGGGAAAGCCAGCCTTAAATTTGTTTCAACAACCAGGAGAGTTCAAGTTGGATAAACCTTTCCTTAGACAGAAATATGGCTTGTGTGTATAAGGGGACAAAAACTCTGAGTATGGAAAGTTTAAGGCATAGTCAGACTTGAATTTTTCTACATCTGGCTTGACTCCCCTTGTAGGTGTGGTGTGCCCCACCCCGAGGCCTGGGGCCAGGGAAAGATGCACTGAGACATCCACCTTTGCTCCATGTGGCCACCCCACTGCTGATAAGATTGTGTATCACTGGCCAATTAAGTCCAGACTTTACTTTTTTTTCTACATTGGGTGTGTGTGTGTTTTGTGTGTTCCCTTCCCAGCAACTGGTAAGTCCCTGAAATGCTGCAATGTTTATTCTAATTAATATAAGAAATTTAGTTCAAAATATGGTACATCTATTTTTGTCTAAATGAACAGAACAAATGAAAATACCCATAATATCCAGTGCTGGCAAGAGGTGAGGCCAAGTAAACTCCAACAAACTGTTGGTAAGGATGTTATTTTAAATATTTATTTATTTAGGCTGCGCCAGGTCTTAGTTGCAGCACTGCAGGATCTTTTTTAGTTGTGGCACACAGGCTCGTAGTTGTGTCGTGCGGACTTCTTAGTTGCGGCATGCAAGTAGGATCTAGTTCCCCGTCCAGGGATCAAACCCTGGCCCACTGCATTGGGGGCATGGAGGCTTACCCACTGGACCACCAGGGAAGTCCCAGTAAGGATGTTATTAATAAACCATTTGGGGGCCAGTTTGGCATCGTCTCTTAAATACCAAATGCAGTTTTCCCATTGACTTAGCAATTGTAATTCAGGAATATGTGCATATGCTTAAGCCAAGTGGATAAAGATTTTATTGAAGTATTATTTTTATTGAAAAATCAGAAGCAATAAATGGCATTAATAAGAAAATGATTAAATAAACGGGAGCATTAAATAAATCATTAAGAAAATGATTAAATAAACATTAGTTTATGTTCTTCTGGAAGCAGATCTTGTGCCTAGGATTCAAGTGCAAGATGTTTGGGGAGTGTAAGTAGGGAACTGGGGAAGTGATGCAGGGAAGGACAGATGGCCAGTAAAGGGTGTGTTATTAAGCCAGTGAGTGACTAAAGTTTAATCTTTCAGGAAAACTCTGAAGGTAGTGCAAAGCACGTGACTTGGAATTATCCTAGCCAATGGGCCAGGGAGCTGGGGTATTTATACTCCTACACCTTTTAGTCATTGTTGAAGCTGTCTCCCAGAGGGACATTAATTCTCAAGTACTTCCACTCAACCATCCATTGGCAAATTGGTTTCAGTGGCTGGAGGGAGCTACCCAACAAAGGAGGAGGTACTGCCCATTGGCAGTCAGGCTGTAATGTGTGGAAATGATAAGGGTTTCCAAAGGGATATGAGTGGATCATGGACAGTGTCTGCTACATATGCTAACAAATGCAAAGAGGCCATTAAAAAGAATGAGGCAAATCAAGGAGCAAATAAATATATCATATACTCTCACTTTTGTAATAAAAATACACATCACATAGTCCACAGTGGTTACCTCTAAAGAGAACAAAGTAAAGGAAAGGATGGATTTTTAAAATTTTATTTTATACCTTTCTGCCATTTCTTTGTTTTACAAGCCTATAGAATCTTTTAAAATTAAAAGAAATAAGGGAAAAATGAGGAAACACATTCATGAAGTAACAAGGAAAAGATGAAGAAACTGAAAAAGAGTATGTAACTAGGACCAAAAAATACATTCACTAATTCAGTCACTCATCATATTTTTATCAAATGCCTTCTACACAGCAGGCTTCATACTAGATTAGATACTGGCTAAAGTGGCCAGTAAAGACTTTGCCAACTGATGTACTAAACTTGCTGATCCAAGAACCTCTCATGAGTTCCTGGCATTGGTGGAAAGTGTTATTTTTTTTCCTTGAAGAATCCATCCCATTCCCAAAGCTTCTGAAGCTAAATATTCATGCTCTTGAGAAATTTCTAAAGTTGGTCCTTTTTAAAAAGGGAAAGCACAGAGCTTTGGAATACATGTGGATATGCTTTTAAAAGTTAAAAAACACTAATGCATAGTATAGGGTTAGCCAAAACCCAATAAATTGTGATTTTTTTTCATATGTATCCTGAACGGAAGTGAAGTGTTCATTGACAAATACACAGGATGGTGGCTCTTTCACCCACCTGAGAATTTTAAATGTTTTTTCTGGATACATGACTCTTGTGCTAAGTGGTTATGCTATTGGGGTTAGCAAAGTCTTCTCTGGGGAAGAAAAAAAAAGACTGAGTCTCCTTTCCCTGAAATCATATATACCGACTCTATGAAAAAGAAGAATGTACATAGAGGGCCCCTTTTAGCTCCCAAACATTGACCTCCATAACTTTTGTTCCTTCTTGTCTAAAGCCTTGGGAACCATTGAGGAGGTGGTATCAGTGTGACTTAGGGTGAATTGCTTCAAACTCTTTGTTTCCAGCTTTCTCATTTGAAAGGTGGAAGAATAGTAGACAACTATAGGGATGGTAGAGGACCAGAGGTAGTCAGTGGAGAGCGCTAATGGAACTAAGTGTTCCACTAGTGTTAGCTTCTGTCCTTCCCCACTGGCAAGACCTGTCTCCCCCTGCACCTCTCCTAACCTTAGTGAAAAACTGTATAAAAGTAGCTGGTGAATGAATATTGTTCTACCTCCTGATGAGATCTCTGTGTCATTGTAAGGTGACCTGCAATGATGTCCAGTCTCCTGTGTCCCCACCTTTGTGTAATCCCCTGTGCTTGAACCACAGGGAGAGCCTGTGACTTGCAAAGGTCATGGGATGTCACTCCCTTGATTAGTTTACATTATATGGCAAAGTGGAGGGATTCTTAATGTAATTAAGGTCCAAAGTCAGTTGATTTTTGAATTAATACAAAGGGAGATTATCCTGGGTGTGTCTGATTCAATCAGGTAGAAGCCCTTTAAAGAGGACCAGGGCCCTCCCTGAAGTCAAGAAACTTTCTCTCTATTGCTGGCTTTGAAGAAGTAAGCTGCCATGTGGTGAGAGGGCCACTGGAGAGGATCTCACTGCAAAGAACTGAAGGTGGCCTCTAGGAGCTGATAGTAGCCATCAAGGAAACAGGGGCCTCAGTCCTAGAGCTGCAAAGAGATAAATTCTACCAACAACCCGAGGGAGCTTGGAAGTGGATCTTGCCCCAGTCAAGCTTTTGATGGACTGTAGCCCCCACCAACACCCAGATTTCAGCCTAGTGAGACCCTAAAGCAGAGAACCCAGCTAAGCCAGCCCTGGACTCCTGACCCACAGAGACTGTGAAATAACGACCGTGTGTTGTTGTAAGCTGCTGACTTTGTGATAACTTGTTACACAACAGTAGACCACCAATACAATTTCCCTGTAGCTCTTCTGCTTTATACTGAGATAATAAAGAGGATGGTGAGGATAATGAAGGGGTGGGGGAGGGGGAGGAGGAGAAACACGAAACATTTATTGAACAGTTATTATATGTCAGGCACATTAGTCATGGTCCTGAAAGGAGATAAATGGGACACTCAAGTGGTAAAACAGGGAGAATCTAGCAAAAGGACTATATACAGAAGCATGCATAGGGTTAGGATGCCCAACAAGGGATGCTGAGGCCATGAGCATCTCTAGGTGTGAAGGTCTAAGGTGAGAAAGCAGAGTTAATGGGACCTTTAGAGAGCTTAGCTACAGGACGGGGCTGCCTGACAGGAGCTGGGGATGGAGGTAGAGGTATACAGCCTCTCTTGAAATGGTGGCCCACCATTGTGAAAGCCAGGGAGATAAATACCATGGGTTCTTATTCCTCTGAGTAGCTATTCTTCTACTAGTGTCTCCTCTTTGGCTGAATCCAACCAGAAGCCAGAGGGCAAAGGACACTTGGTGATACAGTCTTAGAGGTCAGTCTCTAGGGCACAGAGCAGGGATGAAGAAAGGGGTGGAGAATGCAACTGGATGGGTTTATTATGGAGAGTAATAAACCCTCATGGATTAGCTCATTGATTTTTGGTACATGAGGACTGACGCATGGAGATGTTACATAATTTGCCCAGGGTAAGAGGATCAGTAGGTGGTAGAACTAGGACTGGAACCTAGGCATATCTAGTCCCGGAGCCCGAACTCTTGACCACTCCAAATACAGTCCTTAGGACCCTTTGTGCCTGCTGCCTTTCTATTCTGGGCTTTCCTCTGGAGCCAGGAAGTCCCTTCCACTTGCAGCAGCAGTGCAGGCTTGAGTACCTCTTTCTTCACCGTGGCCACCTTCATTTCATCAAAGTCAGGTACCGGCATCTTGCTTGTGGGTGGCCAGAATAGGTCCTCCACAATCAACATGTGTGACCAGATGAGGGGAGAAACAAACCTTTGCTCATGAAATTTCCAGCCTAGTTGTTCAGGACCAACAAGAACAGAAAACTCTCCAATATTTCAAGAAACATGGATCAAAGCCTTTGACATTTTCTCCCAGTCATCCCCAAATTACTTCGAAGTGTTTGTTCACACCTGGCAGGAGGGCAGGAGAGGGAGCTTCAAAGCCATCTGTGGAGACTTCCTCCTCTGAAGAGGTGATGAATTCAGCTATTTCAGGAGCAAGAATATAGATGTGACCCTGGCTCGGCTCGGAGTAGCTGCCTAGAATTCCCACCAATATCAAGAAGGAAGGAAAAGGAAAGTTAAAACCTCTCAACATAGTTCATAAACCTGCCAAATGCTTAATTAGCTTCTTTATAGGTCCACTTCCCACTTTCTTCCAGAAAGTGTCCTGGTAGGACAGCAAGGATATAGGATTTGGGGGGACAGAGGGCTTGGTTCTGGTCCCAGCTCAGCCTCGTATTAGCTGGGTGACCCTGAGCAAGTTATTCACTCAGCAAACTTTTATTGAGGGCTTTATCCTTGAGAAGTGCAAAGATGAAAGACACAGTTTTTGCCCTCAGGGAGCACACAGAAAATTGAGTAGAAAATGTTATATAAACAAATAACGATATCCCATTGTGATAAATGCTAAGGTAAGGTCCCACCAGGGGTGCCCGGAGAAGGGGAACCTAGCTCAGCCTGGAGGGGCTGATCTACTAAGCTCTCTGAGTTTCCATCCCTCAGCTGTGAAATAGAGAGGTTTTATGTGTTTGTGAGGGGAGCTAATACGTTATTCATTCATTTAGTGCTGGGCACTGAGAGGAATGCAAAGCTGTATAAGACTCAGCTCCCACACGAAGCCCCATCAGTGACTTGCACCTGTCTCTGTGAGAGGGGAAGAAAACCAGCATGGCCCTCAAGCCCTTGCTCAGGATACTTGTGAGGAAGAGCTCTTGCCTCTCGCTGCTCCTGCCTCAGTTTCCTACACATTATGTGCTTTCTTGACTATCCATATGTTTCTGGTGTACTGTCTCTGTAAATATGCTAAGCTGAGAGAGGTGAGGTTTACTGGATTGGCAGAAGCAGAGCTGCTTGACAAAGGGAGTCAAAACTCAGCTGGCACCCAGAACAAGGAGGACAGGAGAGAGTAGAAGGGAGGGAACCGGAAAAGCTAGAGGCAAATTAGACCAGCTCCCAGGAGAATCCAAGGCCTGGCGTGTGCCTTGGTGGCTCCAGAAGTTCATGACAGATTGGCTTTTCATGAGGATGAAGAAAAGCCAGCAGAACTGTTTCTTATTAGCAGCCAGATTATTTTAGCAAAAGTTCTGCCTTCTAAGGAGGTAAAAATCAAGAAGTAATTAGGAAGTGAACACAGACTTCTTGAATAACTCGGGAGATGATACCGCTGCTTGCAAAGGCGTATGCTTTTCTTCAAAGGCAAGTCTAAAACGGCATTTCTCATTCATGAATGCCCCTGTCATTCATTCATTAAGTGCTAGGCACTGAGAGGGATGCAACGTTGTACAAGACTCAGCTCCTGCCTTCAGCTTTATTCTAGTGAACGTTTATTGAGCACCTACTATGTGCCAGGCACTGGACCCCATCCTAGAATCAAGAATAAATAAGAGCACAGTTTCTTACCTCGAGGAGCTTATAGTCTAGTGGATTTGCTAATAAAATGTCTTCCCACTTAGAATATTCTAAACACTGACTTGAACAGATAGTATATATTTTTCTCTCCTGTGATTCTCTCAGTTCTTTGGCCCTTGTTGGGAGAATAAGTCTTCTGGATTTATTCTAGAAGCTCACCAGTTCGGCTCTGAGCTCGCAGTTATTTGTGACTGCGAGAGAAAAAAAGTGGTCTGTTCCCTGTCTCTCTCCACAGGTTTAACAATGCACCCGGCTGCATCAGGAACATCCAGTTTGTTCTCCAGATGAGGTGTTACACACTCTGAGTCATTTTTCTGGCTTTTGAAAAAGCTCAGTTCAACCCTCCAATTTCCTACCTTTCTCTTCCACCTGCCTTGTTTAATAATTAGGCTATTTAATAAAAGCTTTTGATGAAGAGTGGGGGAGGAAGATGGTGATTGTTCCGGTTTACAAGTGCCTGGGGAATAGAGCAGCTACCTCTGCCAGAGTCATCATGTTCTGGGTGATTCCCTGGACATCATGCTGAGTGAAAAGGCCAGAGGCCTTTCCCACTTCAGGGCCCAGACATGGCTAACCAGGGGTCATTCTGTCTCCAAGGGCCCTGCCAAAGAATCAAGTTTGGTTCCTGTCTCCAAGACGCCTTGTTGTTCCTGCTCCTGACTTTTCATTGCATATACTTACTTGGAACTTCTACTAACAGCAGACGAGTTCAAGTACACACTGGGTTTGGAGGGTAGAGAGCAGATCAGACTGGGTGAAGGTAAGGAAAAAACTGCAGGTCAGCTTATAATGAGGCAGAAGAGTCCAGAGGCCTCACTGGAGGAACACATTTCAGTAGGAGGGCACTCAAGGCATGGATTTGAGCACAATAAGTGACAAGTTCCTGCAGAGAGAGGGAGAGAACGTCATACTGAAAGGCTACATAGCTTGGGGGGAAAGAGCACTGGTTTTGGAGTGATCGAGATGTCAGTTCAGATTCCAGCTCCACCATTTACTAGCCATACGATCTTAGGCAAGTCGATTAGCCTTCTCAAGCTTCAGCTTCCTCATCTATAAAATGGAACTAATAATCTTGTATAGTCATTGTGAGAACTAGGAATAAAATATATCAAGTTACTGGCGTGCAATAGGCCCTCAGTAAGTGGCGTCTGTAATTAGTTATTGAACGCTTTTAAAATACTAGGTACTAGGTACCTTATATAGTAGGTGGGGGCGTATGTGTAGAAAGTGGTTTGACCAGTAGGACTGACCAATGTATTATCCCAGGAGATTTTCCTTGGGTTGCCAGGCAGTGGGCTAGCTCCCTCTTTCTCCAACAGGGGGACCGGCTGTACCCAATCTCAACTTCCTGTGGGACCAGGAGACCTCAAGCTGGGCATTTCAAGCACTTCCCTAAGCAATGGGCCCCTAAGCTCATACTGCTTAGTGTCTGAACCCCAAGATATTTACCCCCTCAGCACAGCCCCTCTCAAGCTGACCTATGTAAAGGAAGAGCAACAAGTGATTCCTCCTTAGGAGTGCTGCTCCAGAGCACATCCAGCCACACCCCACCCGACCCTGCCTCTCTGCAGGATCCAGAGAGAACAGAGGATCTGCGTACCTGCCCCTTTTATGAGCGTCACCTGCACCAGTGATGCTACTAGTACTGAGTCCTTTGCCAGAGCAGAAAGCCAGTCTCTACTCAGAAACAACAACTCTAAATGCTGTATGAAAATATTATGCTATGATACAGTTATTTCACATGGTCCTATTGGGGTGCAGAGGAGAGACATCTAATTGCCTTTTGGAGAATGTGCTACTTGAGCTAACTTTGAAAGAAGAGTTGGCTGGGCAGATGTGGGGAGGGACATTCCATTCAAAGGGAATAGCAAAGCGTGGAGGTGAGAGAGGAAGTCTAAGGAGTTCTGCTTGCTCAGTTACAGGAGTAGCGATGTGACACATGATGCTGGGAAGGTAGACACGCCTTTGAGGCTTGTGCTGAGAAACTGGAATTTATTTTGGAGGTAATGGAGAGTCACAAAAGTACCTGAGGCAGATGTGCAGTTTAGAAAGATCATCTTGCAAGCTCTGTGAAGCGTGATTTTGGAGGAGCAAGACTAGGGGCAGTTGCAACAACCCAGGGAAGAGCTGATGATTGCACAAACCAGGGTGGAGCAATGGGAATAGAGCAGAGAGGATTGGGAGAGAGGATTATAGTCATAACATGTTAGGATTGAAAGAGAATTTAGGAGTCATTGGTTCTTTCATTCACAGCTCGGGAAATTGAGGACTAAAGAGATTGTATAACTTCTTGCAAATTGAATCTCCTTGCACCCAAACCTCCTTTTTCTAGGGAATTTCCCAGATGGCTAGGAAGACCTGTCATGTTTTTCAGGGTCCGCTTCCCTAGGTATGGTATTCTTGGTCTTTGGAAGTGTAAGGGTGGGATAGGTGGCTGACTTCTAATGAAGGTTACGTTAGAAAAGGGAAGGGAGCGGACTGTGGCAGTCTCTTTCCTTCTCCTGAGGGTCTCTCAAAGCCTCCTTCATTTTAGAGGGATGTGGGGTTTATTTGCAGAACTGCAACCTCTTGTGTTGGTTTGTTTGTAGAAGGATTGACAGTGTTACTTCCTGGCAAACAAAACACACCCAATTTGTTCACAGTTGTGACGAATGCATGGGAGTAACCCTACAATGTACACAAAGAAGCAGAAATTCTATCTGATGCAGTGAATGCGGGATATCAGCAAAATCTGATTGGTCGCCTGGTGTGCTCTGACAACCAAGCTTTCAGCATCCTTTCTAGAGAGTGTCACTTGAGATGTGTATATGAAATAGTCCTGTGATATAGGTATTATTGGGCACATTTAACACAGAGGGAAACTGAAGTCCAGAGAGCCTAAGATCATGCCTGTGGACACAAGTAAGTAAGCAGCAGAGCTGGGGTTCAAACTTACAAGTGCTCAATTCATATTCCCTATTTTTCCCACTCCACCTGTTTACCTTCCTGGAAGGTGGTGCAGGACTTGCCATCGTTTTCTCTTTTAACCCTAATGTGTGCACATCTATGGCTGTATGATTAGTTGATCACAGAGAGGGTATGTACAACCTTATATTTTTGATCCTCTGACTTAAGCATGGACTGAACCACTCATGGATGAGTTTGAGTTGTTCTCAGAAACAGATGTCCTTCAACAACACAGCTGTCATGCTAGTCCTCTGCAACATGGGGTTTGTATAGGGCCAAGGGGACAAAACTACTGGAGTGGGGTCCTGGCCTTATCAGAGTCCTCCCTTTTAAGGCCAATTTTCCAAATATAGTACAATCTACACGTTTAACAACAACCACTTCTCTTCCCTTAAGTGAGGGTGGGAAAAAGAAATGCTAACACCAATTAGCTTTCTTCTTAAACATACCTTGTTATAATGTTCTTTAATTATAAAATATCATATATTATAAATATATTGGTTTGGCCAAAAAATTCGTTCGGTTTTTTTCTATAAGCTGTTATGGAAAAATATCTATAAAATTAACAACATAAAATAATAATATTCATTGTAAAATTGTATATATAAACATTTGAATATATACTCATATACATGTATCTATATATTTGCATATGTGAGTATAGATACAATGAATAAAGCTATCTGTGTATGTACATATATAGGCATAACCATATTTCTTTTGCACGAATGGGCTCACGATGTACAAACTATCCTGCAATTTTCTTTTTTTTACTTATCAAATAAACTGAATTTCTTTGTAAGATCATACTGATGGGTTTCTCTGACCCAGTGGTTGTGGGGAATGTCAGTACCCCCACTGTTTCCTGATTGCTCCTGACACCTGCTCGTCTTGATAAGGCCTGTATGTAACCGGATCAAATAATATCATGTATCTGAGAGCTCTTTACAAATGTAGGGCGCTGTACTCGTATTAGTTATCAAAATACCATATGTAATGTGAAGATACATTTATATAGGAATGGATTGGATGCTTCTTATAGTGTTCTTGTGCCATAGCTAGGGGAGAATGTTTGCACTTTGGACTGGGAGAAGAGCAGACACTGAGATTGATAATGTAGTTGGTCCTGCCTGCTGTCAAGTGCTCACCGTGGAAGGAGTTTTTAGCCCCCTCTGTGCCTTGCTTCTGGTCACCTCTGTCCCTCGAACCACCTGGGTGATTGATCTGAGGAAGTTTCCTAATCACATCTATTTCACCAAACAAGGTGACAGCCACAATGGGAGCAGGGATTTCTTCCAACCTCTCCTGGGAGCCCAGAATCTGAGGACGGTAGAGTTGGTGGAGAACAAGGGGCACCTTTTAGCTCTTTAAAACACCCCTCAAAAAACTCCAAATCCCTTTTTGGTTCAGTTTAACGTTTCACTTCTCCCTGCTTCCAGCTGACAGTTGGAGAAAAACCAAATTGGTGGTTGGCTGGTTGGGTTTTTTTTTAACCTAATGACAAGCCTGGCTTAGAACTGCTCAACCATCCTTCAGCTCCCAATACTGTAGGTCTATAAATAAACAGGCATGTATATAATCTACTTTTGTTTACTTCTCCCCAGATGGAAGTCCATTAATTTCCCAATATATTTTACAGAATGACTTGCCTGTTTCCAGGATTGGGAAGATATATTAATTCTTAGTTCTGAAATGTTTAAGTTAGAAAATAATAGGAAATAGAAGAAATAGAAGGACTGAGATGACTCATTTATCTCAGATGTTCACCCTAAACTACTTCAGAAATGCCAGCAATGAATTAAAACCAGAATTCCAGAGGAATGACCTAAATCCTACTTCACCAGAGACACTCTTCAAGTTCCTTAGCAAAAATTGCAGTTTATCTCTAGAATGGAGGAGCTTGATGATGGCTTGAGTCAAGTAGCATGGACTTAGCTCCAACTGGTCTAGGGATAACGAATCAATATTGTTCCTCTATGGGCAGAGACCTCTTTAGAAGATGACAAAGGGAAGACACAGTCAAGTATAAGACACTGATTTCCTGTGATATGTTAGTGCCGAGAAGGAGAGCTGGCTTGGATAAAGAGAAAGATCTTTCTTGCTCACTGAATTGTAAACCAAATCTGCTCCTCTGCTTGTTGTGTGGTGCTCCTCCGACTTTAATTTTTCCCTAAGCACAAATGAAATGGCCCTACAGAGATCCATCAAGTAGCTGCCCCATCTTGTCTTTGATCATGGGGTCCTCCCCACAGGCGTCCTTGTTTTCTATAAGGTGATCTGAAGCCTGGGGATCCCACCATGCAATGGATATAAAGACTAGGGTTGTGGTTGAGTCAAAAATCAGGGAAAAGATAAAATTCAGGTCAAGGGACAGAAAACTTCTTTGTCGAAAGATTAATAAAACTTCATATTTAACTAGCAACTGCAGGGAAGAAACTAATCTTACAACATAATAGATGTTGTTGATAATGTTAATTACCTCCTTGGAAGCCACCAAGAAGTGGCTTTCAATTTTATGCATTTATTGTCCAAGTTGTAAATTTGGTCTTGGAATGAACAGGTAGTAAAAGACTTTAGAAGCTTAATAAGGGAGGTTATTTACTTTGTGTATAAATGAAGAGAAGGTTTTGAGTGAATAAAGATTAAGAGACAGAGAGAGAGACTGACTAACCCTAACCCGGGCTGGTACCTTAGGTGAGCCCTCCATAGGGTGTTGGTGAAGGTGGTCTGAGAGGCAGCACTGGCTCTCGGTCTTGTGTATGCAGACCTCCGTTTTATCAGTCCACTTGGCAGTGAGCAGGCTCTAGTAGGGTTGACAGAAAAAATGCAGGGCAGTCAGTTCTGAGTTCGATAGATAACAATGAATATTTTTTTAGTATAAGTATTGCCCCTGCAATATTTGTATATCTATTTGCTAAATCTGGCAACCCAATCTAGGAGGCTTCCATTAATTAACTCACCAGAGACTTATTTATAAGTCAGAATGCCAGTGTGTGGATTTCCAGGGCAGGGTACACCTTTCCACATATTAGAGTCCTTGCGCCTACTATCTGTACCACTGTCCTTTAGGTGTTTGGAAAACCAAGTTTGCCATGGTTGGTGAATCCCACCTTGTAGTAAAGTGGTAAAGCAGGCTCATGGGCTGTGCATCCAGGCTGCAGTAGAACATGGGAACCCTGGGTGTTTGACTACAAGGACACCACCCAGAACCTGGAATAGCAATCCAGTCAGACACAGTGTCTCTCTCTCCCCCCAATAGTGTTGCAGTAATGTTGGGCTTAAACTCTCCTTTTTCAATATTTATTTATTTTTATTTATAGTTATTTATTTTTTTTGCGGTATGCGGCCCTCTCACTGTTGTGGCCTCTCCCGTTGCGGAGCACAGGCTCCGGACGCGCAGGCTCAGTGGCCATGGCTCACGGGCCCAGCCGCTCCGCGGCACGTGGGATCTTCCCGGACCAGGGCACGAACCCGTGTCCCCTGCATCGGCAGGCGGACTCTCAACCACTGCGCCACCAGGGAAGTCCTTCAATATTTATTTTTAAAAAATTTTTTACAAGTCACCAAAATCTTACTCCTCATCATAGACATGCTGCCATTTCCAAGATATCTGCTGACTTTGCTGATTAAATCAATTTATATTTTGAGGGAGTCATGCTAGATGTCTTTTGAGGTTTAGGAAACTTGATAGTCTTAACTAGTAGATGTTAATTTTACAAGATAGTTTCAGGTACATACATATGTGTCTTTGATTTTCTAAAACAGAATAGTTTTCATCTCAGACTCCCCTTCTGTGCGATGCAGAAAAATTAATCTAGGAACTACCAAGGAGATTAATTCTATTCTATTATTCTACTCACATTCTCTCCCTTGCTCTACTTTAGATGGAATCTCAGTGGGATCGGAGTGAGAGAGGGGGGACCATGTAACACCATGTGCTCTGTGTTGGTGGTTCCCAAGATGAGTAGCTGCCCCATCTTGTCTTTGATCATGGGGTCCTCCCCACTGGCGTCCAGAGTTATCCTCAAAGGTGGCTGCGTGCCCATCTGGTTTGCTCAGCTTGTCTGCCATCCATGGCTGTTCCTCCATGGTGTGACTCCTTCGGGCTGCTGGCTGTCATTCTCAGCTAACTTCTCAGAGTATGAGTAGGGTTCAGCTCCTCTCCCACACCTCTTTGGGGCCACAGGAAACAAGGCCGTCACTGAGTTCTCTTCCTTTATCACCTGTAAAGCCATCTCTTCTCTGTTGACCCCATATCAGTGTGGCATAAGCACACCTGTGGAGTTAGCTGCCCTCCCTAGATAGGAAGTAGACACAAGCCTCCTCCATTCTCAGTTTCCTCAAAGCTCATCTGGTGTTCTACCCCCGACCACATTTCCGTCTCTTCTGAGGGGATTCACCCTGGGAAGATGACAGGGGGCTGGGGCCTCTCTTGGAGACCACGCATCCCTACTGTCCAGGTAACCCTACTGGACTGCCTGAGGCCTGGTTATCTTGGACGGTTCTTTTGGATCAGTCCTATTTGTCTACTGGTTAGGCTTAAATAGTTGTTGAAAGCTCAGAAAGTCCTTTCTCCCAAGTCCAGGTCTTGTGTTCAGTACTCTAATTTGAATATCAAAAGCTAAGCACTGACTTTCTTGCCATTCCAGCTGTAGCAGCATCACTTTTCCCTAGCACAGGGCATGCCTTGGATGACACAGTGGGAGAGGACAGTGAAGTGTGCAGTGTTGGTGGATGCAAGGAAGACCTAGTTAATGTCTCAAAATGTCCTTCTGCACTGGCAGTGGACCTGTCACTGCACTCTGTGCCTTAGACCCACATAATCCTCAGAACAATCCCCCAAACTATTATCATTCTCATTTCCAGATGAAGAAAGGAAAGGTCGAAGAGAGGATAGGTAACTTGTTCAAAGATTCCAGTTATAAGTGATGGAGAAAGAATTGAACTTAGGGTAATCTAATTTCAAAGCCTTCATTTAAAATCCTAACAATGGTCTCTTTACCTTGGTGAACCACTGACTCTCCAGGAGTTTGTTAAAAACAATTTTGATAAAGACCCAGTGCAGGAGATCCTGATCCAATTGATCTGCGATGGGGCCTGGTCGTCGTATTTTGAACTGTCTCTGTAGGTAATTCAGACGCACACCAAAGTTTGAGAGCTGGCTCTGTCACTTGTTAACTGTGTGATTTGGGACAAATTACTTCACCTCCCAGGGCCTCAGTTTCCTCATTTGTTAAATTGGGGATGGTGATACCCCCTACCTTTGTGTTACTGTGGGAATTAAATGAGTTTAAAATAAAAGCACTAGGAAGACTGCATGGCACATAGTAAGTGGTTGATAAGCATTAAAGATGATTACTTTCTCTGCCTCTTGGCAGCAACTTACTTAACAAAACATTTTTTAGGAGCTCTATTTCCTGGACAGATTACATAAAAGAGTAATTGCCTGCATTTACATAGATTTTTAATAGTTTGTGTCTCAGAAAGTGATTTTTTTTTTAGCCTCTTTTCCCAAATCTCTGTTTATGCCAAATTTGGATACCATGGTCTCCTGTTGTCCTAACCGTCTGGAGGCCATATTTTGAAGGTAAGTTGAAATTAAGCCACAGATGTAATGACGATGGCAGATCAAAGAGAAATAGGTCTATGAATCTTGACCTTGGTTGTAACTTAGAAATACAGAGAGAGCTTTAGACAATACCCAAGTCATATCCTAGATCAGTTAATATCAGAATCTTGGGTAATAGGGCCCAGCCATCAGTATATTTTAATCTCCAGGTGATCCAATGTGTGGCCATTGGGCCCCACCCTAGCTCTACTAAGTAGAAACTCTGGTGCTGGGACCCAGTAATCTGTGTTCTAATAAGCCTTCTGCAAACCTCAGGACCTTTGATGTGAACCATTTCATTATCGTCCGCATGTCCAGGTCTCTGTTTCTGCTTCTCTGTCCAGTAGGGACAAAAAGCAAGAGAGAAGATGTATTAACTCAGTTCCCTTAAGAAGGTTCAAGCGGGTCAGTACGGCCCTAGCCAGGCCTGCCCTAGTATTGGGCAATGAGGGTCCTTCAGCCTAAATGCCTGTATCTCAAGGGGAAGATGATCCAATTAAGAGAGGCCCCACTTTCTCAGAATGGAGACCATGTCAATATTTGCCTAAAATACCCCTTTTTTCCAATCCTAACTCTGCCCTGGAAGCTTCGCGGAGACTAATAACACGTAAACAAGTTCCACACCAACCCATCTGCTTCTCATTTCCTGCAGAATGCTAAAATGAGTCTTTTAAGGTTGCTTGCGATATGTCCCTCTCCTCCTGCCCTGCCCCTGGGGCGCTAGCTCTGCGTCCTCAGACCACCTCAGGCCCTGCCTCCTCCTCCACCCGGGTCCTGTCTGCGCAGACTTGGCTTCGCACAACGCTCACAGTTATTCCTGGCATTTGCTTTTTTGGCTTAGGGCACAGCCAATGATATCGTTTTCTTCTTCTGTTTAAAGCACTGTCCTCAGTCTCCTCCTTTGTCCCTTTCTCCTCTGGCAAGTGTAATGCTATTGACAATTGAAAGTGGCCTGGTTCCCTGGAGCCTGGTAAATGGCCCTGCTGCTAGAATTAGGGTGAGAACCGTGGGCAGAAGTGAGAGCTGGGCTAACAGGACCTGCTCTCCCGGGGCTCCAACGCCCCTCTTGGGACCTCCCCAGCGTACTTGGGAGGTTGGAGTACTGGGGGGGTGTTGGGGGGGGGACCTGGAGTAAGTCTGAATTTCCTTCCTAAATTTGAGCAGTGACTCCATGTGACCTTAAACCACTTGTGGCTTTGCTCTCTTCTGTTTAGCTTCTCTTAAGTAGACCTTTGCCGGAGTGACGCCCTATTCTGTTGCATACCTTGTTTTACTGCACTTTGCTTTATTTCACTTCCAAGATGTTGCTTTTTTTTTTTTTTTTTTACAAATTGAAGGTTTGTGGCAACCCCATATCCAGCAGGTCTATCGGTGCCATTTTCCCAACAGCACTTGCTCACTTCGTGTTTCTGTGTCACATTATGGTAATTCTCACAATATTTCAACCTTTTCATTATTATTATAGTTGTTTTGGTGATCTGTGATCTTTGATGTTACTATTGTAATTGTTTTGTGGTGCTATGAACTGTGCCCATATAAGATGGTGAACTTAATCAATAAATGTTGTGTGTGTTCTGACTGCTCCACCAACCAGACATTCCCCATCTCTCTCCATCTCCTCGGGCCTCCCTATTCCCTGAGACAGAACAGTATTGAAATTGGGCCAGTCAATAACCCTACAATGGCATCTAAGTGTTCAGGTGAAAGGAGGAGTCCTACGTCTCTCAATTTAAATCAAAGCTGGAAATGATTAAGCTTAGTGAGGAAGGCATGTTGAAAGCCGAGATAGGCTGAAAGCTAGCCCTCTTGCGCCCAACAGTCAGCTGAGGTGTGAGTGCAAAGGAAAAGTTCTTGCAGGAAATGAAAAGTGCTACTCCAGTAAACACATGAATGATAAGAAAGCAAAACAGCCTTATTCCTGATATGGAGAAAGTTTTAGTGGTCTGGATAGAAGATCAGACCAGCCACAACATTCCCTTAAGCCAAAGCCTAATCCAGAGCAAGGCCCTAACTCTATTCAATTCTAGGAAGGCTGAGAGAAGGAAGCTGCAGAAGAAAAGTGTGAAGCTAGCAGAGGTTTGTTCATGAGGTTTAAGTAAAGAAGCCGTCACCATAACATAAAAGTACAGAGTGAAGCAGTACGTGCTGTTGTAGAAGCTGCAGCAAATTATCCAGGAGATCTAGCTCAGATCATTAATAAATGTGGCTACACTAAACACAGATTTTCAGTGTAGACAAGACAGCCTTGTCCTGGAAGAAGATGCCACCTAGAACTTTGTAGCTGAAGAGGAGAAGTCAATGCCTGGCTTCAAAGCTTCAAAGGACAGGCTGACTGTCTTGTGAGGGGCTAATGCAGCTGGTGACTTTCAGCTGAAGCCAGTTCTCATTTAACATTCCAAGAATCTTAGGGCCCTTTAGAATTATGCTAAATCTACTCTGCCTGTGCTCTGTAAGAACAAAAAAGCCTGGATGCCAGCATGTCTGTTTGTAACATGGTTTACTGGATATTTTAAGCCCACTGTTGAGATCTGTTGCTTAGAGAAAAGATTCTTTTCAAAACATTACCACTTATTGACAATATACCTGGTCACCCAAGAGCTCTGATGGAGATGTACAATGAGATGAACGTTGTTTTCATGCTTCCTAACACAACATCCATTGTGTAGCCCACGGATCAAGGAGTCATTTTGATTTTCAAGTCTTATTATTTAAGAAATAAATTTCATAAGGCTATAGCTGCCATAGACAGTGATTCCTCTGATGGATCTGGGCAAAGTAAATTGAAAACCTACTGTAAATGATTCACCTTTCTAGAGGCCATTAACAAGATTCATGATTCATGGGAAGAGGTCAAAATACCAACATTAACAGGAGTTTGGAAGAAATTGATTCCGACCCTCATGGATGCCTTTGAGCAGTTCAGGACTTCAGTGGAGGAAGTCCCTGCAGATGTGGTGGAAATAGCAAGAGAACTAGAATTAGAAGTGGAGCCTGAAGATGTGACTGAATTGCTACTATATCTCATGATAAAACTTGAACAGATGAGTTGCTTCTTATTGATGAGAAAAGAAAGTGGTTTCTTGGGATGCAATCTACTCCTGGTGAAGATGCTGTGAAGATTGTAGAAATGATAACAAAGGATTTAGAATATTACATAAACTTAGCTCATAAAGCAGAGGCAGGTTTTGAGAAGATTGACTAATTTTGAAAGAAGTTCTACCGTTGGTTCAATGCTACCAAGCAGCATTGCATGCTACAGAGAAATTGCTCATTAAAGAAAAAGCCAATCTGTGTGGCAGACTTCATTGTTGTCTTATTTTAGGAAATAGCCACATCCACCCCAGGCTTCAGCGACCACCGCTCTGATCAGTCAGTGGCCATCAACATTGAGTCAAGATCCTTCACCAGCAAAATGACTACAACTCACTGAAGGTTCAGATGATGGTTAGTATTTTTTAGCAATAAAGTGTTTTTTAATTAAAGTATGTACATTAATTTTTTAGATATAATGCTATTGCACACTTATTAGACTGCAGTATGGTGTAAATATAACTTTTATATGTACTGGGAAACCAAAACATTTGTGTCTTGCTTTATTGCAGTGGTCTGGAACTGAACCCACAATATCTCTAACATATACCTGTACTGTTAGAATGTGAACAAACTTGGAAAGACCAGTTCCAGGGGACACTGTGGAGTAGGAAATGTGTTCCTGTATTTTCCTTTCAGTTTCAGAGAGATGCTTCTCTCCTCTTCCTCAAGGACTTAATCTGGACCCTATTCTAAGGGCAAACCCCAAGCCCTCTCCTAAATGTGCTGTCCTATCCCGTACTTCATCTTCTCATCACCCTGCCAAGACCAGGTTAGAAAAATGATAACTCTCATTATCCTAATATATTTTTTCTCCAAATCTGTCAACAGCATAAACTTTGGAATGCCCTCTTTATACCAGACATTGTGCTTTAAGACTCAGCTCTGGCCCTTAAGAAGCTTGAAGAGACAGGACATGCACATGCAAAGGTAATAGCTTTGGACCATGTCAAGTGAATCAAACAGATAACAAAGCTTAAAGGATTATGCAATTATTCAATAAATATATATTGAGTGCTTATTATATACTATGTTACATGCTAAACCAGTGAAAAAACAGATAAAACCCCTGGCTTCATGGATCTTAGATTCTAATGAGACAAGAACAGTGTTAACAAATAAATATATAATACATCAACTTGTGACAAGTGCTCTGAAGGAAAATGACGCAGAGTAAGGTGAATTTTTTTAGATAGGAGGTCAGAGAATGCCTCCCAGATAAGGTGCCATTTGAGTCAAAACCTGAAGAAAGAGGGAGAGCAAGACATAAGAATATCTGGAAGAATTTTCCAAGCAAGCTGAATAGCAAGTGCAAAGGTCCTGAGGCGGGAGTGTGCTTGTTGGGTTCTAAGAAGGACAAGTAGGCCAGTGTGGCTGGAGGGCAGTGAGTGAGAGGGGATGGGCAAGATAAAAGGTTAGAGAAGGGACAAGTGTAGATCACCAATGTTCTGGAGGCTGTGGGAAGAATTTTGGATTTTATTCTGAAGCCATTAGAGAGTTTTGAGAGTTTTGAGCAGAGCAGTGACATGATCTGAGTTATACATTGAAAGGATCATTCTGTGTGAGGGTAGATTTAGGGGTGCAAGAGGAGAAGCCTGAGGCCAGTCAGGAGGCTACTATAATAATCCAGGGGTGAAATGATGATGGCTTGGACCGAAGTGATAGGACTGAGGTTGGTGATATGAGGTTTAATTCTGAATATATTTTGAAGGTAGACAAAATAGCTAAGGTATGGGGTTATAAACAGAGAAATTAGGAATGACACCAAAATTTTTTACCTGAACTGAAGGTTTTACATTCATAGGAGAGAGTGGCTGCTTCTGGCTCAGCTAATCAGAGTAGGATTAATGAAAGACCTAAGATTTGAGTTGCACTTGAAAAAACTAGTAGGGTTTTGTGGCTTATGGAAATTCTCAGTGGCTTATTCTGAGACCATTTTTTCTTCCTAGACCCCATCACACCACCCCAAACCCACTCCTTTGTTAAATTTTAGCACCTCTACTACAGGAGACAAGGGACTCACCCAGCCCAAGAGAGGCAGATCTTGATCCTTTAAGCCAATCATGGAAATTCCTTGCTCTTGCCAGTAACTGGTTTAGAAATGGGCTGGTTTAGGAATGGGCATGCCCTACAATTCTGGGCAATGGAACGTAAAAGGGAACTCTGAAGAAGGGACTTCTGGGAAACTTTCTGAGTCTGAGATGCCCTGGATTTGAGATGCTGTCGTGTAAGGACATGGTACTCAAGCTGCCATTGTCATCTTGCAAACATAAAGGGGGAAGATGAGGTCAACAGCCACATTTTGAGGGTGGCAGAGGAAAAAGGTTGGAAAAAGCCTGGTTCTTTGAGGACATCGTTGAGTCACTGAGTTACCCAACCTTGGAGTTGTGCGACTTCTGGACTTCTTATTATGTGAGATTAAAGAAACAAAAAACAAAAAAACCCTCCTTATCATCAAATGCTTTTTAAAAAATATTTATTTATTTTATTTATTTATGTTTTGGCTGCATCGGGTCTTAGTTGCGGCATGTGGGATCTTCACTGAGGCATGCGGGATCTTCACTGAGGCATGCGGGATCGCTTTTTTTCATTGCGGCGCAGGCTTCTCTCTAGCTGTGGTGTGTGGGCTCCAGGGCGCGTAGGCTGTATAGTTTGCAGCACGCTAGCTCAGTAGTTGTGACGCATGGGCTTAGTTGCCCCACGGCATGTGGGATCTTAGTTCCCCGACCAGGGATTGAACCCGCATCCCCTGCATTGGAAGGTGGATTCTTTACCACTGGACCACCGGGGAAGTCCCTCATCAAATGCTTTTGAGTTGGATAGTTTTTGCTTGAAGCGGAAAGTAAGTCATTTTAGATGAGGAATAAAGACTTTAGGTAGGAAGACATAGCAAAATCAAAGATACTTTGAGGCAAGATTTCCTTTGAGACAAGAGAAATCAATACACATTTGGGAAAGAGTAGGTGGAGTAATTTGGCATTCATTCATAGGCTTGTTCAACAAATATTTGTGGAGCCCGTACTATGCGCCAGATGCTGTTCTAAGATGGGGGATGCTGCAGTGAACAGGATAGACAGGATCCCTCTTCTCATGGAGTTTATTACCTTGTGAAGGAAAGACAGGTGGTAACAAAGGAAACACAATAAGAATAATTTCAGGAAGATGTAAGTATGATAAAGGAAATAAAATACACTGAAGTGCTAGAAAGGGACTAGAGAGGCTTCCTGAGGTTGGGAATGGTACATTCAGGAGACTTAAAGAGGGAAAAGAGTCAGTCAGGTTGACAAAGTGAAATGAGGCTGGTGTGGCTGTAGCCTAGGGAGAGAAAGGAGAAGGAAGAGGCCAGAGAGGGAAGCAAGGCCACGTCCTTTGGTTTTGGGGCCAAGGCAGGCATGCAGATTTTATTCTAAGTCACAAGGGAAGTAGCTGGAGGATGTTTAGCAGGGGCGTGATATGACTTTTTATCTTTGTAGATCTTTCTGGTGACATCATGGATGGACCCAAGTGGAGAGATGTGGGAGACAGAGGGATATAAGTCTGGGAAAGCAGTCACTGCCAGGTAGCTTCCTTCCATTTCAACAACCCAACCCAACATTGTGGCTCAATGGAGAATTTCAGGCATGGGAGCAAGGGCATTGGGGGAAAAATTATGGCAGAGGCCCTTTCCTCTGCCGGGTCATACATTTATCCTTCCTCTTCCTTTTTCTAGAAAACAAGTCAGCCTTGCCACAGCACTAGCTACAAAGAACCATGTTGATTAGAAATAGAGCTGATTACCTAAGATGCTGGTCACATTATGTTACAGAAATACTAGGACAGTGCTGTCTAAAAGAAATAGCATGTGAGCCACATAGGTAGTTTAACATTTTCTCTTAGCCATATTAAAAAAGTAAAAGAAAGTAAAGATAAGAAATTAATTTTAATAGTATATTTTATTTAAGCCAAATATCCAAACATTATCATTTCAATATATAATCAATATAAAAATTATTAGTGATCTATTTTTCTCTCTTTTTTTCTTCCCCCTAAGTCTGAAATTTGGTGTATATTTTACACTTATAGCACATCTCAGTTTGGACTAGCGACATTTCGAGTGCTCAGTAACCACATGTGGCTAGTGGCTACTGTACTGAAAAGCACAGGCATGGGAATATGGCCTGGGAAGGCCCCGTACAGGGAGGCCATGTCAGGATGGAACCCTGGACTTTGGCAATGGTTTCATGATTCTGCTGCTCTGCTCTGGATCCATTCTCTAAAAGAGATGTATTAGGTCAAAGGACGTGAACATTTTTAGGACTCTTGATTATTTTCCTAATTGATTACATCTATTTATGATACTACCCACCATGACTACAGGTGCCAATATCACCAGCTCCTGATTTAGAAATTTGCATTTTAATTTGGGGGGGTGGTTAAGTTTAAATTTAATTTAGTGAAAGAAATACCATGCTTCTTTTAATCTGCTTCTCTTTGATAACTAGTAAAATTGAAATTTTTTTACATTTTTATTAATATTTGTTCTTTTGTGAATTGTTTTGTTACAAATCTTTGTTCTGTTATCAGCTAAAGTCTTAATGACATTTTTGAGTGGATCAGAATGCTTGCTCAAGTCAGCCTGACGATCATATTTTGTCTCCTTAGATTGGCCTCAGGGGCAGCCAGATTATCAGGCAATGCTTAGGAAGCATGAAATCAGACCAAGGACGGAGCTGATCTCAGGTGTTTCTCAGCTAAGTCAGATCACAGCCCTCTATGGCTGGAAGTGTATGTGGGAGTCTGCTTAGTAAAGAGATTCCTTTCCCTTAGCTGTGTTTAGGGGGAACTGGTGTGCTTGCTTGCTGACTAATTCCCTTGTATGTACTGGGTCTTTTTTCAACTTATGTGTAAGTTTCTGTGTTCTGCACTACTGTTGCATTCTTTCCGTGCTCCCCTGAAATTACTCCCGGAGCACCTGGGCTGGAATGCTGGCTCTTCTCAACCTTTCAGTCACAGATTTACAACCTCTAGATTTACCTCTGTATATAACCAGTCATGTTTGTGATGGGGGAAATCTTACCAATTTAATATTGAAATCAACTTTATTTCCAGTTTCTTGGATAACATCTTGTTGTGATCTTTAAGAAGTGACAACAGCTTCTACAAAATCACCATTGAATATGATGTCCAAAATTAGGCACTCTTTCTTATGTGAAGAAGACTCATTCTATCTCTATTAAAATTTTTTTTTTTTTGGCCGTACCACACGGCATGGGGGATCTTAGCTCCCTGACCAGGAATCGAACCCGTGCCCTGTGTGGTGGAAGCGCACAGTCCTAGCCACTGGACCACCAGGGAATTCCTCTATTAACATTTAAAAATGAATGAATATGGAAAATTACATACCCTTTTGCATTTATAAAAATAATTTAAAATTTTCTAGTTTAATATCTTATGATATTCTTCAATTAAGGTATTTTTTATCATTGAGATTGACCCCTCCTTTTGTTAATGAATCATTCTGAAAAGCTAAAATATACACATGGCATAAAATTCAGAAGGTACAAAAAGCTATATAATGAAAGTAGTCTTCTTTCCTCCTCTGACTTCTACCCACTTAACTTCCCTCTTGAGGGCAACTGATGTTATCAGTTTCTTGTTTATCATTCCAGACATGGTTTCTGCATTTTCAGATATCCAACACACACACACACACACACACACACACACACATACACACACACACACACAAATAGTAATGCACCATTCTATATTATTCTATCCTGCATATTGCTTTTCTCACTTATCAATATTTATTTGATGTATTTTCACATCAGTACAAACACAACTGTTTCCTTCTTTTTAATGGCTGCATATAATTCAATATGAATGTAATGTGATTTATTAATTGGTTTCCTACTGCTGGTCAAAGGGCTAGTTTTCAGCCAATTTGCATTTACAAACAATGCTGTAACTAGTATCATTGTGCATGTTATTTTGCTCACATGGAAGTGTGTCTATAGGATGAATGCCTAGAAGTAGAGTTGTTGGGTCAAGTGCATTTTTAGTTTTGACAGTTATGGCCAAATTGCCTTCCATAGATTTATACTGTTTATAATCAGCAACAAATGGGTGTGCTGGTTTCCCCTTGGCAATATTGGATATTATCAAGCTTTCTGATCTTTGTCAATAGGGAGGTGAAAAATGACATCTCATTGTAGCTTTAAAGTGCATTTCTCTTTAAAAATGAGGTTGAGCTTTTCATATGTTTAACAGTCACTTTTGTTTCATTTTGAAGCTGAAGTTTGTAGCATAGTATGATCTGGCCTTTGCATCTCAAATCCTGCCTTGCAGAAACCAGAACATGTCTTTTATATCTCCACAGCTTTTGCATCAGTTTAGTTTCATTTTGACTGCAAGTAACATAAAACCCTGACTCAACTGACTTTAACAATAAGGGAAATCTTTTATCTTACATGACATCATGTCCTGGGATACAGTAGCTTTAGGATTGGTTAGTTCAGCTACTCACCAAGGTCGCCGAGGTCCCTGGTCTTTCTATCCTTCTGATTGCCGCCCTCTTCATGGTCACTACATGGCTGCATTACAGTCAGGCATCCCATAGAGACAATGCAGCAACCAGTAGAAGATGAGGGATGTTTCTTACCATGAGTCTCTTTTTAAGAACAAGGCAACTTTCCTGAAGTCCCCTTTCAGAAGATATGCCCTTGAATCTCATTAGCCAGATCTGAGTTTTATGCCCATTCCTAAACCAATAACTGGCATGGAGAATGGGACCATCACAACTGGTTCATGTTAGTCAGGATTTTTCCCTGAATTATATGGAGTAGCAGGGGACAATCCTCTGCCCTCCAAAAGTAATTGGGGCACGACCAACAAGAAACATGTGGATCGGCTGTAGGGGGACAATCGACTGTGGCTGCCACAACTCTGCACATGTTATTCCCTTTGCCTGATACAGCACTCCTTTATTTACCCTCCCATCTAACTACTATTCATCTTTCCAGTATAGGCTCGGGTTTGGCTCCCAGGAAACTGACTGTTTCCTCTAGGAAACTGACTTTGTTTCCTCCATTCCCATGCAGCCTGTGCCACCCTCTTCACACTGCATTCTAAAGCTGGCTTCGCCTCCCAGTCTCCCACCACATCCCAGATCCGTGAGGGCAGGGGCTGGGTCTGATTTGTTTCTGTATCTCTGGCCCCTAGGACATTGCACAGTACAGAACAGACACTTAACTCATGCTTGTTGAATGATGTGTCTGCTAGTATTTAGAGTTTCAAGTCTAGATTTACAACAGAAATCAACTTAGAGTTTTGTGTTTGTGAATGATTTGCTTGTTGAAATTTGGAATTAGGATTATCTTTTCCACATACAGCAAACTGGAGAGTTTACAGAACAAATTGTTTAACTTGTGGATTATTGGTTCCTTAAAAGTCCAGAAGTTCAACAAATATTTCCTGAACACATATTATGTGTTGGGCACTGTCCCAGTTGGCTCTTTATACAAGAGTAGTATGAGGGCTTGTCTTTGAATGTGAGTTTATGCTTTAAGGCAGCATTTTTCAAACTGCAGGTCAAGGTCTCTTTCTGGGCAATGAAATCAATTTTGTGGGTTAAAACCATTATTAAAATGAAAAAAGATTAGAATAAAATATATCCGAGTGCATCCTCTTGGTAAAACTTTTGGTTTATATTTATATTTATGTTTATGTTTATATTTATATGCTGTCCTGGGTCAAGATAATAAAATGTGTTTTTTACTATGGGTGATGGTCAAAAAAGTTTAAAACCAGAGAGACTGGTTCAAGATGGCGGAGTAGAAGGACTTGCGCTCACTCCCTCTTGCAAGAGCACCAGAATCACAACTAACTGCTGAATAATCATCAACAGGTCACTGGAACTCACCAAAAAAGATACCCCACATCCAAAGACAAAGGAGAAGCCACAATGAGATGGTAGGAGGGGCACAATCACAATAAAATCAAATCCCATAACTGCTGGGTGGGTGACTCACAAATTGGAGAACACATACCACAGAAGTCCACCCACTGGAGTGAAGGTTCTGAGCCACACGTCAGGCTTCCCAACCTGGGGGTCCGGCAACGGTAGGAGGAATTCCTAGAGAAACAGACTTTGAAGGCTAGCGGGATTTGATTGCAGGACTTCAACAGGACTGGGGGAAACAGAGACTCCACTCTTGGAGGGCACATACAAAGTACTGTGCACATCAGGACCCAGGGGAAGGAGCACTGACCCCATAGGAGACTGAATCAGACCTACCTGCTAGTGTTGGAGGGTCTTCTGCAGAGGCGGGGGGTGGCTGTGGCTCACCGTGGGGACAAGGACACTGGCAGAAGAAGTTCTGGGAAGTACTCCTTAGCGTAGGTGCTCCCAGAGTCCGCCATTAGCCCCACCAAAGAGCCTGGTAGCCTCCAGTGTTGGGTCTCCTCAAGGCAAACAACCAACAGGGAGGGAACCCAGCCCCACCCATCAGCAGACAAGCAGATTAAAGATTTACTGAGCTCTGCCCACCAGAGAGCAACACCCAGCTCTACAGACCACCAGTCCCTCCTATCAGGAAACTTGCACAAGCCTCTTAGATAGCCTTATCCACCAGAGGGCAGACAGCAGAAGCAAGAAGAACTACAGTCCTGCAGCCTGTGTAACAAAAACCACATTCACAGAAAGATAGACAAGACGAAAAGGCAGAGAGCTATGTCCCAGATGAAGGAACAAGATAAAACCCCAGAAAAACAACTAAATGCAGTGGAGATAGGCAATCTTCCAGAAAAAGAATTAAGAATAATGATAGTGAAGATGATCCAGGTCCTTGGAAAAAGAATGGAGGCAAAGAAAGAGAAGATGCAAGAAATGTTTAACAAAGACAGTAGAAGGAATGAATAGCAGAATAACTGAGACAGAAGAACGGATAAGTGACCTGGAAGACAGAATGGTGGAATTCATGCCATGGAACAGAATAAAGAAAAAAGAATGGAAAGAAATGAAGACAGCCTAAGAGACCACTGGGACAACATTAAAAACAACAACATTCGCATTATAGGGGTCCCAGAAGGAGAAGAGAGAGAGAAAGGACCCAAGAAAATATTTGAAGAGATTATAGTCAAAAACTTCCCTAACATTGGAAAGGAAATAGCCACCCAAGTCCAGGAAGCGCAGAGAGTCCCAGGCAGGATGAACCCAAGGAGAAACACACCGAGACACATAGTAATCAAATTGACAAAAATTAAAGGCAAAGAAAAATTATTGAAAGCAGCAAGGGGAAAAATGACAAAAAACATACAAGGGAACTCCCAAAAAGTTAACAGCTGATTTCTCAGCAGAAACTCTACAAGCCAGAGGGAGCGACATGATATATTTAAAGTGATGAAAGGGAAGAACCTACAACCAAGATTACTCCACCCGGCAAGGATCTCATTCAGATTCAACAGAGAAATCAAAAGCTTTACGGACAAGCAAAAGCTAAGAGAATTCAGCACCACCAAACCAGCTCTACAACAAATGCTAAAGGAACTTCTCTAAGTGGGAAACACAAGAGAAGAAAAGGACCTACAAAACCAAACCCAAAACAATTAAGAAAATGGTCATAGGAACATACATATCGATAATTACCTTAAACGTGAATGGATTAAATGCTCCAACCAAAAGACACAGCCTCGCTTAATGGATACAAAAACAAGACTCATATATATGCTGTGTACAAGAGACCCACATCAGACCTAGGGACACATTCAGACTGAAAGTGAGTGGATGGAAAAAGATATTCCATGCAAATAGAAATCAAAAGAAATCTAGAGTAGCAATACTCATATCAGATATGACTTTAAATAAAGAATGTTATAAGAGACAAGGAAGGACACTACATAATGATCAAGGGAATCAATCCAAGAAGAAGATATAACAATCATAAATATATATGCACCCAACATAGGAGCACCTCAATACATAAGGCAACTGCTAACAGCTATAAAAGAAGAAATTGACAGCAACACAATAATAGTGGGGGACTTTAACACCTCACTTACACCAATGGACAGATCATCCAGACAGAAAATTAATAAGGAAACACAAGCTTTAAATGACACAATAGACCAGATACATTTAGTTGATATTTATAGGACATTTCATCCAAAAACAACAGATTACACTCTCTTCTCAAGTGCACATGGAACATTCTCCAGGATAGATCACATCTTGGGTCACAAATCAAGCCTCAGTAAATTTAAGAAAATTGAAATCATATCAAGCATCTTTTCTGACCACAACGCTATGAGATTAGAAATCAATTACAGGGAAAAAGCATAAAAAACACAAACACATGGAGGCTAAAGAATACGTTACCAAGAGATGAAGAATTCAAAGAGGAAATCAAAAAATACCTAGAGACAAATGACAAGGAAAACATGACGATCCAAAACCTATGGGATGCAGCAAAAGCAGTTCTAAGAGGGAAGTTTATAGCAATACAAGACCTCAAGAAACAAGAAAAATCTCAAGTAAACAATCTAACGTTACACCTAAAGGAACTAGAGAAAGAAGAACAAACAAAACTCAAAGTTAGTAGATGGAAAGAAATCACAACGATCAGAGCAGAAATAAATGAAATAGAAACAAAGAAAACAATAACAAATATCAATAAAACTAAAAGCTGGTTCTTTGAGAAGATAAACAAAATTGATAAACCATTAGCCAGACTCATCAAGAAAAAGAGAGAGAGGACTCAAGTCAATAAAATTAGAAATGAAAAAGAAGTTACGACAGACACTGCAGAAATACAAAGCATCCTTAGAGACTACTACAAGCAAATCTATGCCAATAAAATGGACAACCTGGAAGAAATGGACAAATTCTTAGAAAGGGATAACCCTCCAAGACTGAACCAGGAAGAAATAGAAAATATGAACAGACCAATCACAAGTAATGAAATTGAAACTGTGATTAAAAATCTTCCAACAAACAAAAGTCTAGGACCAGATGGCTTCACAGGTGAATTCTATGAAACATTTAGAGAAGAGCTAACACCCATCCTTCTCAAACTCTTCCAAAAAATTGCAGTGGAAGGAACACTCCCAAACTCATTCTCTGAGGCCACCATCACCCTGATACCAAAACCAGACAAAGATACTACAAAAAAAAAATTACAGACCAATATCACTGATGAATATAGATGCCAAAATTCTCAACAAAATACTAGCAAACAGAATCCAACAACACATTAAAGGATCATACACCATGATCAAGTGAGATTTATCCCAGGGATGCAAGGATTCTTCAATATACGCAAATCAATCAATGTGATACACCATATTAACAAACTGAAGAATAAAACCCATATGATTATCTCAATAGATGCAGAAAAACCTTTTGACAAAATTCAACACCCATTTATGATAAAAACTCTCCAGAAAGTGGGCATAGAGGGAACCTACCCCAACATAATAAAGGCCATATATGACAAACCCACAGCAAACATCATTCTCAATGGTGAAAAACTGAAAGCATTTCCTGTAAGATCAGGAACAAGACAAGGATGTCTACTCTTGCCACTATTATTCAACATAGTTTTGGAAGTCCTAGCCCTGGCAATCAGAAGAAAAAGAACTAAAAGGAATACAAATTGGAAGAAAAGAAGTAAAACTGTCACTGTTTGCAGATGACATGATACTATACATAGAGAATCCTAAAGATGCTGCCAGAAACCTACTAGAGCTCATCAATGAATTTGGTAAATTTGCAGGATACAAAATTAATGCAGAGAAATCTCTCGCATTCGTATACACTAATGATGAAAAATCTGAAAGAGAAATTAAGGAATCACTCCCTTTTACCATTGTCACATAAAGAATAAAATACCTAGGAATAAACCTACCTAGGAAGACAAAAGACCTGTATGCAGAAAACTATGACACTGATGAAAGAAATTAAAGATGATACAAATAGCTGGAGAGATATACCATGTTCTTGGATTGGAAGAACCAATATTGTGAAAATGATTATACTACCCAAAGCAATCTACAGATTCAATGCAATCCGTATCAAATTACCAATGGCATTTTTTACAGAACTAGAACAAAAAATCTTAAAATTTGTATGGAGACAAAAGAGACCCCAAATAGCCAAAGCAGTCTTGAGGGAAAAAAATGGAGCTGGAAGAATCAGGCTCCCCAACATCAGACTATACTACAAAGCTAGAGTAATCAAGACAGTATGGTACTGGCACAAAAACAGAAATATAGATCAATGGTACAGGATAGAAAGCCCAGAGATAAACCCAAGCACCTATGGTCAACTAATCTACGACAATGGAGGCAAGGATATACGATGGAGAAAAGACACCCTCTTCAATAAGTGGTGCTGGGAAAACTGGACAGCTACGTGTAAAGGAATGAAATGAGAACACTCCCTAACACCATATACAAAAATAAACTCAAAGTGGATTAAAGACCTAAATGTAAGACTGGACTCTATAAAACTCCTAGAGGAAAACATAGGAAAAATACTCTTTGACCTAAATCACAGCAAGATATTTTTTGATCCACCTCCTAGAGTAATGGAAATAAAAACAAAAATAAACAAATGGGACCTAATGAAACTTCAAAGCTTTTGCACAGCAAAGGAAACTATAAACAAGATGAAAAGACAACCCTCAGAATGGGAGAAAATATCTGCAAATGATTCAGCGGACAAAGGATTAATCTCCAAAATATATAAACAGCTCATGCAGCTCAATATTAAAAAAACGAACAGCCCAATCCAAAACTGGGCAGAAGACCTAAATAGATATCTCTCCAAAGAAGACATACAGATGGCCAAGAAGCACATGAAAAGCTGCTCAACATCACTAATTATTAGAGAAATGCAAATCAAAAGTACAATGAGGTATCACCTCACACCAGTTAGAATGGGCATCATCAGAAAATCTACAAACAACAAATGCTGGAGAGGGTGTGGAGAAAAGGGAACCCTCTTGCACTGTTGGTGGGAATGTAAATTGATACAGCCACTATGGAGAACAGTATGGAGGTTCCTTAAAAAAGTAAAAATTGAATTACCATATGACCCAGCAATCCCACTACTGGGCATATACCCTGAGAAAACCATAATTCAAAAAGACACATGCACCCCAATGTTCACTGCAGCACTATTTACAGTAGCCAGGTCATGGAAGCAACCTAAATGCCCACCGACAGACGAATGGATAAAGAAGATGTGGTACATATATACAATGGAATATTACTCAGCCATAAAAAGGAACGAAATTGAGTCATTTGTAGAGACGTGGATGGATGTAGAGACTGTCATACAGAGTGAAGTAAGTCG